TAAAAATTCTTCATACAGTGGACTACCAGTAAAACTGATACAAATTTGGGACCAAAAATTATTCAGACCGAGTCTGGGAAAAAATTGAAGTTGAGGTTTGCATGAAGCTGGTTGACCGCATGCCCAGGAGACTACAGGCTGTCATTAAGGCTACGGGTCACCCGACAAAGTATTGATAGTTGTGTAAATATTGACAGCTGTCTGAATAATTTTTGGTTGATTGTAATCCATTACATATATCTTTCTATCAAAGTTATCTGACATTATCAAGCTGAATTTCTTCTGACACATTTAATGTTTCTAAAAGAAGTCTCTTCTGCTCACCAAAGCTGCATTTATTTAATCAAAAATACAGTAAAATTCTGAAATATTATTACAATTTAAAATTGCTGTTTTCTATGTGAATATATTTTAAAATGGAATTTATTTCTGTGATGCGCAGCTGAATTTTCAACATCATTACTTCAGTCTTCAGTGTCACATGATCTTCAGAAATCATTCTAATATGTTGATTTTGCTGCTCAAGAAACATTTCTGATTATTATCAATGTTGAAAACAGTTGTGCTGCTTCATATTTTAGGATTCTTTGATGAATAGAAAGTTCAAGACAACAACAAATATTTAAAAAAAAGAATCTTTTGTAATATTATAAATGTCTTCACTCTCACTTTTCATCAATTTAATGCTTCCTTGCTGAATATAAGAGTTCATTTGTTAAATTAAAAAAAAAAATTTATACATAGTGATCCTAAACTTTTTAACTTTTTAGAGACCTGTCACATATGTGCCATAAGTCGTCTCAAATGGAGGAATATGTTTTTCCATTTTGTTTTACTGAAAATGTGTATAGACAGTTTATTTTTTGAACGTAACTGAAATATACAGTTTTGTTCATGAATATGCGGTTTACTTGCTATTAAGTGTCTTTGGCAAACGTTGGAAGACTTTCCAGTCAAGCAGACAGAATGAAACCTGTGTGGCCTTATGTTTAGAAGTTAAATTCAGCCAGTCACATTGTTTTTGTGTGCACTGAGTGAACGCAATCAGTGAACGAACTGAATTAGTGAGGAATAAAATGCATGCGCTCTAACCATTTGTGGTCTCGCGTTTGGACATCTAGCAACCAACTATGAACAAATCACATAAACCTTAAGTTGTAAGACTAGTTTTTATGGATTGCATAACTGAAGGGAGAAAATCAAATGAATTAGCATGAATGATATGTGGCAGCAGTGTGTGCATGTCTCTCTGTCTCTCTCGCTCTCTCTGACACACATAAGCATTTTTCACATAGACAGTCTAATAACTTTAATAAGTGTGCATGTTTCAGTGTTTGGTTTTGTGGTTGATGTGTGTATGTGTAAAGGTTGACTCAGCCGTGTGTGTGTGTGGAGGGTCTGGCGTTGTGGTTTGCGTCTTTGATGTGGTTTGGCCATGAAAAGTCTGACGGTTCCCCAACAGTGCCGCGCCAGAGACACACACACACACACACACACACACACACACACACCTCAATAAAGCCCCGCCAGAGGAACTTTCCTGCGAAAACATCGCCTGGCATCGTGTGTGTGGCATCGTCTTTTCCGTTCTCATTTTTCTCATTCGCTCGCACACAGGCATATATATATATGCTCAGATTTGGCCACGGGTCTGGTTGTAGGTACGGAGATGACACAGCGGAAACCACTGGCTCGGAGAACTTCCTCACAAACACACGCTGTTGTGTGTTACCGAGCGTGTGTGTGGTTTGCGTCTATAAATGTATGACACATTCACACGCTCGTG